GAAATGAAATCACCGCTGTGAAGCTGGTGAATTCACCAGCACCAATTCTTTTTAAGTGACACTTTGAGAAAAAAGACTGAGCTCTCCGATTACCCAGAGTAGAAGAGATTAGGAAAGAAGCCAGGGGTAGAAGGCTTGTGTGTTCCTCAGCGTGGCTCCATTGTGCACACTCAGTGTTAATGCTCCCCATTTGCATGGCTTGTGTGGGTTATGAGAAAGCAATTTTCTCTGACTGGCAAAAAGAGGATTAATGCACAGACATTCCTAGAGGGTTGGGAACTGGTGCTTAGGCCAAAGCTGACTGCATCCTCCTCAGGTTCTGTGCTTTCTGAGCTAGGGACACTGGGGTCAAGCAGCTTTCCCAGCTGATAACATTGTTCAAGTAATTTCTTTTTATCTTGCAGCGCAAAGAAAGGAAGTGCAAGCCCGGGCGGTGTTCTATCCTCTGATGGGCTTGGGGGGTGCAGTCAATATGTGCTATCGAACCCTCTACATTGGGACAGGTGAGTTGCTTTTTCCTGCCCCAACCTTTCAGAATCAGGATGGTTCTCCCTGAACCCTCCCTAAGGTCTTTGCCAAGTGGGTGTCAAAGGAAACAGACTCACTGTGGCCACTTGCACTGGGATTCTGCACTACCAAGAAGTGTGGAAATCCCCCATCTGCACGAATCCGTGTGGGGGGCAGCTCTGTCACCTGGTGTCATAACTAGAACAGGTGTCTTGGAGTTTTAATGCCTGACTGGTGGAGAGGAAAGTTATGGTTTGCTTGCAGGTTTTGTTTCTTGTTGCTTAGATTCTTCTGGTGCTCTGGGTAGACCCAGGAGCAGTGCAATGCTCTTCAACCTTTGTGGAACTGTTGGCTCCCTTCCCCCACTGAAACTTTGTTGGTGGCTTATCGAAGCATTATTCATGCAGTCCTGGGAGCAGGACAAAAGCAGTTGCTCCCCTGTTGTTTTGCTAATTGAAGTTTAATTCTGTCTGTTGTTCTCTGGTGCCTGACAGTTTGGATTTTTTTCCCCAATACAAACTGAGCCTGTTTTGTCCTCCCCCATGACAGGAGCTGATATGGATGTGTGCCTTACAAGCTATGGTCACTGTAACTATGTGTCTGGCAAACATGCCTGCATATTCTATGATGAGGTGAGTGCCTGAGTGATTTTTTTTTCATTATTATTATTATTTTTAATTTTTGGTGTGCATGGCAATGGGAGTTGGAGATGCAGGCAGCAGGTTGTCTTTGTGTGGTGCTCCTTTTGTGGACTACAAAGTAAGAGCTGTTTTTCACTCCAGTGGAGGCTGTGTCAGCATTTTCTGTCAAACCCTTTTCTGAAACACAGAGCTCTGCCAGCACGATTCCCTGACTGCCTGTGGGCAAGGACTAGCCACAAGTCAGCGCTGTCACTGCTGGTGTCTAGGGAAAGAAAAGGACATAGATGTGGTCTGATACTTTTTGATCCAAATGTGTTGTTAATAAAAGCTAAACTTTGTGTCAACATGGAACCTCAGCTGGAACAAACCAAGGAACTACTCTGAGTCCCTTGTTTTCAAGGGTGATGGGGGAGCAAAGCATTCATAGCATCTGCAGTTCTCTCTAAATTATGTATTTAGCTAAAACTTCAGTTAAGCTCACAGCATAAACAGAAATCTACAGTTTCTACTTAGCTACAGCCCAGAGATTAGTTTGTTCTTGAAGTAAACAGACCAGCAGGCCTGCTAGTAACAGCACTGCTGGAGATGTCTCTTAGCATGGAAACAGTCTTTGAAGCAAGATCGAGTCTTTTATATCACCATTTGTCAACCAGTTCCAGAGCAGGATCCAGGATTAACCCACAGCCAGCTTTGGCCGTTCCTCCAGTGCCCTGCAAGCTACCAGACACACTCAGTAAATGGGATTCTGACCATAAATTTGTGTGGAAGCATCTCTTCACAGTGGTCAGTCATAAATCAGGCTCCAGGCACTGACCTTTGGCCCTCCTATGGCTGTAGTCACTCTGGAGAGGGAGAATTCCCCTTCCTGGAGCTCTCTCTGCAGGTTCTCCTGCTGCAGTCTAGCAGGTTACTTCAAAACCTACTCCCATGTGCACATGGAGTTTTTGTAACTTGATTAAAGCCTTGTAGTGCCTGAGGGACGAGGTCTTGAGCTCTCAGATGATTTCTGTGAGCTAACCTGAAATCTTCTCTGCTCTGTCAACATCCTGCACAAAGCTCAGCTGAGCGTGACGCCGCTTGTGTAACGCTGCATGTCACGGTAATGTCTGCTGGCATTTCAGCCTGCACAGGGCCTGTGAATCCCAGACTGCCTCTGTCCTGAGGCTGCTGCAGCACATGGCATCCCTCTTGCCATCTTGTGCTTGTTTTCCAAAGCTCATCTCTTCCTGCTAGGCACAGGTCTTGAGCCAAGCTTGCATCAGGTGGGCCTATAAAATGCTCGCTTTTGCGAGCATCAGCTTGAATATCCTGTTCCCAAAAGATGTGTTGGTTCAAGTGCAGTAGGTAAAACCTACTTTGCTTTGGCCCACCTCTGCCAGAAAGCAGCTCCTGCTGGTTGTTCTGTGAGCTGTGGGATCAGGTTGGTGGTCTCTGAAGCTGGAAGATATTTACCACCTATTATTTGACTACTACTGGCAACAAGGAAAAGGGGTTGTCTTTCAGTGCTCCAAAGAGGTGTGTATGGGCAGAAGCACTTCTGACTGACAGAGGGTGGGGTTAGATTGGATATTAGGAAGAAATGTTTCCCTGTGAGGCTGGTGAGGCCCTGGGACAAGCTGCACAGAGAAGCTGTGGCTGCCCCAATCCAAGGCCAGGTTGGATGGGGCTTGGAGCAACCTGGTGTAGTGGAAGGTGTCCCTACCCATGGCACAGGGCTGAAACAAGATGGTCTTTAAGGTTCCTTCCAACCCAAACTATTCTATAACTTCCTCTCTTGATTCCCTCCTCTTCCCTTTCTTTTCAGAATACGAAGCATTACGAGCTGTTGAACTACAGTGAGCATGGGACGACTGTGGACAATGTCCTGTATTCATGTGACTTCTCGGAGAAGTTGACACCCACTCCTCCCAGCAGTATTGTTGCCAAAGTGCAGAGTGTGATAAGTGAGTGTTGTACCACCACCATAGGGAGTTAATTGAGAGGGGGCAGGAGCAGGTGGAAACCAATTCCTTGTTGATGCCCCTTGTTCTGCACAGGCTGGTCCACCCCTTGCTCAAAGGGGAGCCTTGCCACAGCTCTCAGTTGGGGTTACACAAGACCTTCCTCCACAGCCTGGGGAGCTCTGTGCTCTGACCTAAACCCTACTCCAGCCTCCAGTGCAGGAATTACCAAGCTCCAGTCCCAGTGAGCAGCCAGTTTGGAGCAGGCCTGAGGCATTTCCCTGTGCATGCCCTCCCTTCCCAGGCTGTGAGATGGTCTGGGCTGTGCTGCAGGCATTCTGTCCCTTCGTGGCTCACTCCTGCTCTCCACCTGATCAGCTTCCTCTTCTTGGGCTGCCAAAATAGATATGTAAATGCCTCAACTTCTCCAGGGCTGTGAGGAGATTCCCATTTCCCTTTGATCAGCTGCTCACTGCAGACTGAAATCCCTCATGGCTGGAGAATCTTACCCATGAGGCACCTCAGCAGTAACCCCTGTTGATGAAAACAAGCTGCTACTGACCTGCCCAAACCTTACCATTTTTTTTTATTCTTTTCCAGGACGACATAAAAGCAGAAAACAGGAAGAGGAGGCGCATGAAGAAGCTGCTGTGATGAATTCACAGGCACAAGGGCAGCATCGAAAACCCTGTAACTGCAAAGCCAGCAGCTCCAGTTTGATCGGGGGCAGCGGGGCTGGCTGGGAGGGCACGGCCCTGCTCCACCACGGCAGTTACATCAAGCTGGGCTGCCTGCAGTTTGTTTTCAGCATCACCGAATTTGCGACCAAACAGCCCAAGGGGGACACTGCCTTAGTACAAGATATGGACTTGGAGGAGAAGCTTTCTCTGAAACCCCACCAGGTGCCCGTGCTGCGGTCCAACTCAGTTCCCTAGGAATTTTTAGGAAGAGAGCTTTTTGGAGTAAGGAAAACGCCCTCAGACTCTTTACAATGCAAAAATGTACAAACCGAGGTGGGATTTTTCTGTGTCGGCCCAGAGACTGTTCACACGCCGTTTGCATGAAATGAAGAACGTTTAACTTTTTTTAATTTTTCTTTTTTGCTCAAGTTTTAGGGGCATTTGCACATATATTTGTACTATACATTTCATTTTAAAAGGAAAACTGCAGTGAGAGCAGGACGTGTCAGAGCGAGGGGTGACCGCTGTCTGACTCGAGGACTCTCTCTGACAGATAGTTCCCATGCAGTTGTAAAATAATCAGAAACTTGTTCTATTTTGTGCCAGTGACAATAGTTTTATATTAAAAGAGAAATACAGTTTTCATACAGCAAATCTATACAATATCATTGTTTTATTTAATGTAAAGAAGCGCTCTTCTTCCCGCAGTTATTTTTCCCATCCCTCCCTGCTATGGTTGCACTACAAGTAGCTACTGTGTATTATGGGAAGTGAGAAACGAGTTCTTTTCCTGGTGTCCATCCTATTTTTTATTTCAGATAAGGAAAAGTGTTGGATTCTGTGTAAATACATCAGTGATGGCATTTTTCAATGTTTTAAAGCTGTGTACAGTGCTACATGTGGTATGACGTTCCTCAAATTGTCTATTGTAGCAGATCCTTTGTCGTAACCTGTCTGTCTCTTTTGTTTCTCTGCCACCTCCCCGCAGCAGAACAGCTAGTTCCACTGTACATAGTAATTGTAACGTTTTAGACTTTACAGAAACTTTCCTGTATTCTGTATATAAAAAAAAAATACTTCACATTCTGTTTTCTTGATTGTCTGTCTTCACTCGTGTCACCACAACCTGGAGCTTCCCCCAGAGTGTCTGACTGCAGAGGAGCCTGAGCTGGGAGACAAGGCTGGGGTGGGATGGAAGGACCCTGGTGTCCTGCCTGGGATGTGGGAGCATGCTGGTGGGAAGAGGGTGAGGCCTGGAAGGTGATGGAATCATGGAATTGGTTGAGGTAGGAGGGACTCTTGAAGGTCCAACCCCTGCAACGTGCTAGGACATCTTCAACTCAGTGGCCCAACCTCACCTCAAATGTTTCCAGTTCTGGGCCCCTCAAGACAGGAGCGACAGTCTGAAAGTGTCCTGGAAGATCAGGGACTGGCACAGCTCATTTATGAGGGAAAGCTGAGGCCTGTGTAGCCTGTGGAAGAGCAGACTGAGGAGATCTTATTCGCAAATACATCCACGTGCAGGAGGGGTGTCAGCAGATGGGATAGAGCCAGGGGTGCTGAGCAATACAAGGAGAGGCAAGGGCAGAAATAGGAGCAAGAGAACTTACACCTGAACATGAGGAAGACCTTTACCATGCACTGGAACAGGCTGCCCCAAAAGGTGGCAGATTGCCTATCCCTGGGGATATTCAGCTGTCTAGGCATAGTTCTCAGTGCTCTAGAGGACGCTGCTTGAGTGGGGGGGGGCTGGACTAGATGACCTCCGATGGTCCCTTCCCACCGGATATTCCCGATATTCCGTGATCTCCCACCCCTCGGGGCGTTGATCGGGGGGCAGCACTCACCCTTCTCTCCATCCCTGCCCCCACCGGCGCCACGAGCCCGGCTCTCCCAGCGCCGTCCGCCCGCGGGCCCGTCCCGCCGGGGCGGGGAGACGGGGCGGGGCGGGCCGGGGCTGCCCGGAACGGCGGCGGCGGCGGGATGGGGTGGGCGCTGCTGGGCGTGGGGCTGCTGCTGGCGCTGTGCGCGCTGCTCCGGCACGGGCTGCGCAGCGCCCCGCGGCCCCGCGCCCGCCCCGAGCTGCGCGGCCGCACCGCCATCGTCACCGGTGAGCGCCGGCAACCGGGAACCGGGAACCGGGACGGGCCCCGCTGCGGCCCTGGCCGCCGCTCACCCCCGCGCTCCGCTCCGCAGGGGGAAGCAGCGGCATCGGCGCGGCCACGGCGCTGGAGCTCGCCCGGTGCGGGGCCCGCGTTATCCTGGCGACCCGCAGCGCCCGGCGGGGAGAGGCCGCCGCCAGCCGCATCCGCAGGGTGAGAGCCGGCACCGGCACCCCCGGGGAACCCCCGGCATTCCCGGCCGCGGGACATCCCCGAACCCTATGGCACCGCCAGGGTACCCCTGGCACCCAGCGGGCAGCTCCAGGACAGCCCCCCGCGGGGTGTCCGTGGATATGACATGAGCTCCCCCGGATATCTCCTTGGGTGCCCTGAGGACACTGCCATGGCATCCCCTCAGCAGCCCAGGGATGCCCACAAGAGACCCCCCAGGACATCCCTGTGCACCCCGAGGACACCATCCAAAACACACAACGGAACATCTCTAAGCATCACATGATTTATCCCCAAAACGTGCCCATGGGTACATCCAGGTGCCCCATGGCACACCCCAAGAATGACCCCTCAGACACTCCCATAGGACATCCCCAGGCACCCCGAGATTCTCCAAGGTGGGGCATACTGTCTGGGGCACACTGTACCACAGAGGGGCTACAGCCTCCCATGCTGGGGGTCCCAGCACACTGTAGCCCTTGGGCCAGATCCAGTCCCCAGAACATCCCCCTGCCCCTGGCTGGCTCCAGCCCCCGCCCAGGGCAGGGCACACCCCCGGCTTGGCCCCTGGCCCTGCCCCAGCCCCCCTGCGCCCACAGGAGACTGGGAACAACGAGGTGCTGTTCATGCATCTGGACCTGGCCAGCCTGCGCTCAGTGAGAGCCTTTGCCAGCACCTTCCTGCGCCAGGAGCCCCAGCTGCACCTCCTCATCAACAACGCGGGTGAGTGCTGGGACCCCAAATCCCCTGTGCGCCCCTGGGGCACCACCACAGGCTGCCATTGCCTCCTCACTCCGCAGGGGTGAGCGCCGGGGGCACGACCGAGGATGGCTTCAGCCTCCCCTTCCAGGTGAACCACCTGGGCCATTTCCTGCTGACCCAGCTGCTGCTGGAGCGGCTGCGGAGCTGCGCTCCCAGCCGGGTGGTCATCGTGGCCTCCAGTGCCCACTGCGCCGGCCGCCTGCGCCCTGAGGCCCTGGGCCGGCCGCCCTCGGGGCTCTTCTCCACCTTCCAGGACTACTGTGACAGCAAACTGGCCAACGTGCTGCACGCCCGCGAGCTGGCCACGCGCGAGCAGGGCACGCAGGTCACCTGCTACGCCGTGCACCCAGGTAGGAGCCGGCTCACCCTTGGTGTCTGTGATCTGCACACCTTTGTGTCCCGTGGCGGCCCTCTGTGCGGGGTGGCGTCCTGCTTTGCGGCCTTTTCATAGGGAATTCCTGCACGGGGAGCATCTCTCCCCGTCAGCGTCACAGTGTGGTGCTTTGCATGTGTCCCTTTATGTGGTGTGGCCCTTTGCATGTGTCCCTTTATGCGGTCGGTCCCTCTGCACGTGTCCCTGTGCACAGTGTCTCTTTTCATGGCGTGTCCCTTATCTTGCCATGTCCCTTTGGACCTTGTCCCCTTGCACTGCGTTCCCTGATACGGCGTGTTCCTTTCACAGCGTCCCTGTGCACAACACATCCCTTTATACAGCCTGTCCTTTTTCACCTGCATGGCACCTCCCTTTGCACCTGTGGCACCTGAGGCACACCCAGCACAGGCAGGACAAGCGTGGCAGCACCTGGGGGGGACAACTTCTCCAAGGCCACCCCGGCCATCTCCCGGCACACACAGGGGGATGCCCCACATGCACCAATCTCCCGCAGGCTTCGTCAACACGTCGCTGTTCCGGCACGCGCCGCTGTGGCTGAAGCCGCTGCTGCTGCCGCTGGCCCGGCTGCTGTTCCTGGAGGCGTCCGAGGGCGCGTGGGCGGTGCTGGACTGCGCCACGCGGGACGGCCTCGAGCCCCTCAGCGGCCGCTACTTCACCCACCGTGGGCCCCGGCTGCCGTGGGCAGCGGCACGCGATGACCGCCTGGCCCGGGTGCTCTGGGAGGCCAGCGAGCGCCTGGTGGGGCTGGGCGCGGCCGGGGGACAGCGTGGGGGACGCGGGCAGGGATGTCCACAGGGCCCTGCCGCTCCCACGGCGCAATAAAGGTGATGGCGGCGGCCAGGGAGCCGGGGTTGCCGTGTGCGTGTGGAACGGGGCGAGCGAGGGGCACCGTGGCTTGTACACCCGCTACGGGCAGCAGAGCTGGGAGGGGGACAGTGAGTGAGTGTGCAAGGGGGGTGGGGGTGTGCAGGGTGGGTGTGCACAGCAGCACAGCCGGCTCTGCGCACACGCTGCAGGACACACAGCCTGCCTTGCACATCCGTGCAGTGTCTCACACACCCCTTGCACACCTATAAAGTGTCACACACACTCACATACACACATCCCTTGGACACCCGTGCAGTGTCACACACACACAGACATCCCTTGCACACACACAGTGTCACATACACACGCATCCCTTGCACACACAGTGTCACACACACAGTGTCACACACACAGTGTCACACACACACAGTGTCACACACACACACATCCCTTGCACACACAGTGTCACACACAGACATCCCTCGCACACACACACAGTGTCACACACACACACATCCCTTGCACACACACACACACACACATATATATATATATATAAATAGATAGATATAGCTCTCGCACCGCGCATGCGCACACCCCCCAGTTACCCCGCGCGCGACTCCCAACATGGCGGCGCGCCCGGCCCCGCCCCCGGGCGCGGCGCCGACCTCCCCAAGATGGCGGCGCCCACCGGCCGCGCCCCCGCCCCGCCAGGCGCGGGCGGTTGTGGGGGCGGCGGCGGCGGCGGGGCCATCATGGGGAACTGCCACACGGTGGGGCCCAACGAGGCGCTGGTGGTGTCAGGTACGGCCGGGACTGAGGGGCTGCGGCGTGACATGGAGGGCGCCCTGAGGGAGTGGGGGTCTTGGCTGTGAGGGGACTGTCGGGGGTTTGAGTGGTCGCTGTCACGGGAGGATCCTGAGGGATTGCGGGGGGGTCTCTAATGCGGGGTGCTTAGGAGGGGGTTTTGGGGGTCCTGCGATTTGAGGGGTCGCCGTCACTGGGGGGTGTCTGCGTGGTGGAGCCTCACGGCACAGGGGAGTCGGAGGGTCCTGGCTGTGAGGGGACTCTGAGGGGCTTGAGGAGTCCTTGTCATGGAGAGAACCTGTGGGAGTTGTGGGGTCTCTGTGCTGGGCTATGAAAGGAGGGGGGAATTGAGGGGTGCTGGCTGTGAGGGCGCTCCGAAGGGATTCTAGGAGGGATCCCTGTGGTAGGAGGGCCCTGAGCGATTTGGGAATAGACAGATGGGGGATGCTGTAATGGAGCTGAGGCTGCGGGGTGGGTCCGGCCACAGCAGCGGCGCCTCGGGTGCTGCTGATGCCAGGTGAAGTCAGGCACTGGCACCAGCAGAGCTCAAACAGGCTTTGGCTGGCATTGCCAGGGAACCCTCCTGTTCCCGGAGACAGGTTGGCTCTGCCAGGGCAGGGGAGCTGGGTGTGAGCATCCCCCTGGGGCAGAGCTGAGGCTTGTTCCTGCAGTGCCCATCTTCATCCACCACATCCTGCTGCAGCTTCCTCACCAACACACCTGCACGCTCAGTGGTGCTGCTACTGGATGCAGGTGATGCCCACTGGACATGGGGAATGTCACCAGCCTTTGGCTGAGGTTTAAACAAACCAGCAGTGAGATCCCCCATGTCTGATTCAACCTGTAGCTGCTGCAGCTCCAGGCTGCACTTTGGCATGGACCAGGCTTTGTGCGGGCAGGATTATTATTAATTCATTCTTGTTAGATGAGTTAATTATTGTTAGGTGATGTGAAGGATGGGAGCTTCACTCTGTGACAGACTGAGGCCCGCTGCAAGGTAATGAGCACCAGCAGAAAATGCATGTGAACATAAAGGATGTGCCTCTAGTCACAGCTTTGCCACGCTTGCAACTATGTTATTGTGGTTTTGGAGCCAAAGCCTCCAGCAAGCTGTGGTTGATCTGTTATCAGTTCATCTCTCTTGGATGACAGACCTGTTGTGGGAATTCCTGAGGAGATGCCAGGAGCAGGCTGCAGTTCTGGAAACAATTATGCCCACACTGCTGGTGCCTTCTAAGGAGTTACAAACCCCACCCAGCAGCTGCCCAGAGCAGCAGTATTCCTTGCAGTTTTCCTGGTCTGCACTTCCCAGTGGGATCCTAAGCTGATGCTGTGCTTCCCTCCAAAGGGAGCCCTGTCAAAACTGGCACTGCTTGGTGAAATGCCACATTCATGGGAAGACTGAGAAGCTGTGCTGGGATGCCCTTCAGTCTCAAAGCTTGGTTTTGCTTCTGTTCAGCTCTGGAGTTTACAAAACACAGCTTCCAGGATGAGCCAGCAGGAATTTGTGGCATCTGCTTTGCATTTCCAGGCGTGATGCTTTTCCACAGCCAGGAGCGGCGAGCCCAGGACACTCCTCGTCGTGCAGCTGCGTTTTGGGAAGGGAGCAGAGATCACCCAGGGTTCTGCCAGTTGGGATGGGGTTTGGAGCTGCCACCAGACTGGTTTTCCTCAGCTGCTGCCCAGTGTAGTCTGCACATACTTGCTGAATCCTGAGGGCACCAGCTCAGAGCTCTGCAGGGCCCTGCAGCTCCTCTGGGGCATTAGTGAGAGGTTGTAGCTACAAGACATTGAAATTCCAGGAACTTGAGCCATGTTCCTTCAGGGAAA